GGTGCCAGGCCTGTGCAGAACCCTTCACATGCGCACAGGCATGCGTGCTACCTGTGAGCTGGGCCCTGTCAACACTTTTCCTTTTTTTTAAACAGATGACAAAACTGAGACTTCGGGAGATTAAAGAATTTGCCCAAAGGCACATAGCCAGTCACATAGCCCAAAGACACATTACCTGCAGTAGTATGTATAGAAAGTAATATACCCTAGAAATACCCCACAATCTATTATGGTCAACTATTGATTATTAATCCAGTAAGAAATAAATGTTTCATTAGAAAATTTGAAAGTTTTCCTTAAAAGGGACTCTTTTTTTAAAACTTAATTATCTAATGCGATAATAGAAAGGGACTATTTTTGATTCAAAGAAAATGCAAAAAACTTCATTTGCAGAGAAACTGCAACTCCTTCACATCATAATTTTTGGATTAAAAAGACATAAGCAATAATATCAAATGACTACAAATACATTAATCTGGTGACATAAAATTGAAACCAAAAATTCATTCAAAACAAAACATCTTCAAGGCTCCAGCCATCTCAGCGCCCCTCCTTACATTCCCACGCTTCTCCCGCCTCTTGGCCTCTTGGAGCCCTGGGCGGCCAGCCAGCGGCCCCTGCCCGCGGCCCTCCCAGATACCTCCCTGTCAGAGCTCACCTTCTCCCTCCTGGACTTGAGCTTTTTGCAGTCGCCCTTGGGAAGGGCCAGTGTAGGAAAATATAAACTCTCTGCTGGGAGGCTAAACCTCACTCACCTCTGAATTATCACAGGTGCAGATTCCCGCATATTAAACACGTCAGACATTTAACAGACACTAGAAGGAGATTTTCTTCTTTCCCAGAACAAGGAGGGACTTGGTCATTTTCATCAAGAGTCAACACACTTGGTACAACACCAGCAAGAACCCCAGCAGCCCTGGCCCTGCCGTGCTGGCTGCCCTGGGACAAGGGCCCGGTCATCACTAGTCTGGCGGCAGGAGGCCAAAAAGGTCATGGGCTGCATCCATAGGAGGAGGGTGCTTTCCCTGCTGACAAGCCAAATTTTTCTTTACCACTGAGAGCAAAGTGCTAAGCAGCCTTCCTCTTTCCCCATCCTATTTCTAAAAGTGTTACCTCCACGGTGAATGTTAACCTGTTTCTTGGTTGTTTAATAATCTGTTTGGTGCTATAGCCGGAGGAAGTGACCAATGCTTGAAAGATGTCAGGGCTCCTCTAGGCTGAGACCCTAAACAAAATGATGATCTCCTATCCCCTCTGGGCTAAGCTGCAAGGCTCCACAGGTGAGGCCATAGCCCCCACATACACACATGTGCAGTCAGAGGCGCCTACCACACACCCCTCTTCTGTGTACCCCAGAGGACTATAGCTGCAGCTACCACTCCCACCACCACTCCAGTTTGAAGTGGCTTCAAAATTTCAAGCAGAAAATTCTGGCTGGTGGCATAAGTGAACTGGAACTGGGTCTCACCTCACTTCCCACAGGGGCCCTGCACAGATTTCATGTATGGCCCTCAGATAGGGAAAAGCAAGGGGAGCCGTTGGGGCAGGAGCCCCAAGCAGCTCCACCTTCCACATGTCCCTGGAAATTTATTCTGCAGTAAGATTCTCCCTATTGCCGTGGAAGCAGCCTAAATGGGCACCTGCCTCGACCAACTGGCAGAGGCTGCACAGGGAGCAAGCCAGAAACTTCTATCCCCTTTCAGGTGGGTTTCCATGTCCCCTCCTCCATGGAGGACGATGTCTAAAAATGTTCACTAAAAGGAAATGCTCCAAATGGCATTTACCAACCAGGCTGCTTTCTACCAGGCCTCTTCTATGTACTGTGATTAGAAGGAGATAAAAATGAACAGTGTAAAGCTGGGTTTCTTTGAGTAACTGACGTGGCGGCATTCAACACAAGCCAAGAGAGCTGATCCCTAGTTCCTGCAGAACATGGCCTGCGTTCCAATCTCAGTGGAGGAACATGACTCAGTTCTGTTCAGTTACCATTTTCAACTGAGTGCTAGGTGCTAGGTGGCCTGGCACAGCCTTCTGCAGCTGAGTAGGCGTCTGGGACTCATAGAACACCCAGGACGCCAGTGTCTCTGCTTAATCTTCCTTGCAGTACTTACTGTATAACAGATTATATTTATTTGTTTGTTGTTTGTTGCCTCAGAGGCTGGCCTTGCCCTTCCTTTGTATTTTCTATCGAGCCCCCTGGACATATGGTCATGAAGGCAAGGGCAGTAAGAGTACAGGACAATGGAAGACAGCTCCTGGAACAGTGCTGAGAGTGAATCACAACATGGATGTGCAGAGGGTTTGCCTGGGGAAACGGAGTCAAACACGAGAGCTCAGGAAACCCCACCACTAGACCTTCCAGGAAGATCTGCTCTTAAGCAGCCTGAGAGACGGAGGCAATGAGAAGGAGGTTCTGTTGTTGGCTCTTTTCTTTTCTCCTGTCTTTGCTCATGACAAGGCTGAAGACGGAAAACAGCACCACCTGCCTCCAACAGCTGCACAGCGGGCAGTAAGCCCCAAGCAAGAGTGACTCCAACCTGCACTCTTAGTCTGATAGGACATGGGAGACCCACATTCAAGGGCAGAGTGAGGCAGAGAGGGTAAGTAGTGGGTCTAGAATCGAAATCCTTAGGCAGTTCTGCTTTGAGAGCCCTCTTTCTTTCCACTGTGCTACCATGTACTCTCCCCCAAAATATTACTCTGAAAATAGAGGGTGAACTATTTGTCTTCCAAAATGATTCATGACAGCACTCCCTTGAATAGCAAGCTCCTTCAAAACATTTAAAATGAGTCTACTTTAAAAAATTCAATTCACGCATAATTTTTACAGTGACACTGTACTGTAAAAGTTAGAGGCGTCTCTCCCAGAAAGTGGCTTCTCTTCCAGGCCTATTCCCTTGTCCTGCGTGGAAGAACCGAGAGCCATGGGAAGACTCTCAGGCCTGGGAGCTGGGCTGAAGCTGCGGCGGCTGCGGTGCACTCACACCTGAGCAATGGCCCGAGAGCCACCGCAGCCAAACTGGCAGAAGCCACCCCCTCCTGGGAAAGCAACTCCCACATCTGCTCATCTGTCTGTGATACTCTCATTTCTTTTTATTTCTTACTAAGCCTTTATATAGGGACTGAAGGGGACAAGGGACCTAGAAAACAGACCAGGAAAATACTGCCCCTGCAACTTTAAACCTTGTCCCCCTAGCACATTCTTGTGAGAAAAAAAATAGGAGCCCATTTCCAATGCCCTCGACAGTATATTTCAAGAAACACAGAGGCATTTAAAAGGCCCTGGCTCGGGCCGGCCCGGTGGCGCACTGGAGAGTGTGCCGCTTGGGAGCGCGGCGGCGCTCCCGCCAAGGGTTCAGATCCCATGTGGAGACCGGTTCCCGCTCACTGGCTGAGCGCGGTGCTGGCGCAACACCGAGGGTTGCGATCCCGTTACCAGTCAGTAAAAAAGACAAAAAGAAAAAAAAAAAAAAAAAAAAAAAAAAAGGCCCCGGC